AAAAAAAAAAAAAGGAATTACGAAATTGTGCTAATTTATCGCTAATAGCACTTTTTTATAACACGTTGCTAATTTACTACCCCCTCCTGTCCGCTTTAATTGATATTTTTGATTGTTTTCACATATTAAAGAATTCATCTTTTAGCATTAATTAATAATAAAATTGACTATATTAACCTTAATTTGTTCATTAGAAATTCAATAAATACTCTTAGGCTCTTTACTCCAAGGGCAACTTTGGAAAAAAGAAGTTAATTCTTTCTTGATATTTGAAAAAATCAAATATTATGGACCACAAAATAAGGCCAAAAAATCACAAAAAATAGACCGGAGGGAGTATTAGCAATTTCTTTAGCAGTGTTGGTTGCTGTCGTTTGGAAATAAGGGTATAGGCGAGCCAATTTTGTAATGGTAGGGGATCATTTGGCTCCTACTATTAATGACAGAGAGAGAGAGAGTAGTAGTTTATATAGTTTTTAAATATGTAAATTTATTTTAAAAAACGTGAAGAATTTATGATCAAATTACACCGAATGTTAAATACATTAACCTATGATACTACGAACCTTGCCACATAAACTAAGACGCAGAGATATTTTTAGAAAAGAAATTTAATGAATATTTGTTTGGTTTATAATTTGTACTGTTTGTTAAACGTAAGAGGAAAAACTAGAAGAATTATGACCTATTTAAGTTCGAATTACTTAAAAAGATGATACGGAGTATTTGAAGAAAAACAAAGCCTAGGTATAGCAGCAAATTGTTTCAATTCAAGACTGATAATGAATGTTACAATTAAATGACAGTAGTAGTAACTGCAATAACCAGCTACTTTTAATATTAATTAGATTTTAATTAATTATAGTATGTATTTTTTCTAAATAAATTAAAAATATTTTAACAAGTCCAAATAAACTGACCTATAGGATCGAGTTTAATTAAATGCACTGCTGACGAAATGGGTTAATTGAGGATTCCGTATATTGCTTTTCATAGAACTCTTTAATCATATGTTGGTTTCCATGTATATATCTTCTTTAACTTGATTCAATTTTGCTGAAAATCTTTAATTCAGATCTTCCTTGACTTGATTTGCACAGGATCTAGTTTGCACATTTTGATATTCAAGCTCCACTATATACTTTAATATTCAAGGATTGTTGTCATCATTAAAATATTAGGTTATAAAGTTTTTAATTCCGTCGTATTTACATCAAATCATACTAATATATCATGATTAAATCATAAATAATTTTTTTCTTTTTTAAACTCCGTATCCAACTAAAAAAACTTTCACACAAGGACAAAAGGAGTAGGAATTTTTACGTAAAAGTTTGTATAGTTATCTTTTAGATGGTTGATATTATAATAAAATATTTATAATGTTATTAGAATATAGTATAAAAATTAAACTTAGATATCTATGTGACCAAAATAGAAGGAAATAAAAAAGACTCTTCTTTTACCTTACTTATTTACTATGGCATGGTCCCACTTCCAAAACCGAGAAAGAAATAAAATAACTTTTAAAAAAAAATGCCTACTAATAGAACTTTGAAGGTTTGCCGATATAGATTCCTTAAAAAAACGCATAGTTTTCTTAATCACGAAATTCAAAAACAAATTATCTTTGCCTCTGAAACCGTAAGGGTCACTGTAACCCTAGTTTAAGCTTTCCTCAGTTCACTATTCTTGCCGTTCAGTGCAAAAACTAAGTAATTTGCAAGTCCGAATGATCAAGTTGGGATCGACTATATGAATCCTCACAGTGTTGTCATGAAAATAATAAATATTGCCGACGATAACGATGATGATGTTTCAGTAATATATGAAACCCCAAAAACTTCAAAGAGCAAAGGAGCCAAGATTAGTGATGCTATTGAGAAAAGAAATCAACAAGTTTCCTTATTTAAGATTTTGTGTTCAAAACCTAGCTGCAGTGGAACTAAAAAGGCCTTTATTGATCTATCTAAAGAATCCCCAGATGAAGAAATTCAGATTTTGGATTCTAATTTTTCATTCTCCAAAAATTCAAAAAGGGGTTCAAATTCGAAGTCTATTGTTATAGATGATGACGGTAATGACAATTTTACGTGTGATATTTGCGTTGACGAAAAGTCAATGAGTGAAATGTTCAAAATAATGGGGTGCACACATTCTTATTGCAAACAATGTATGGCTAAGTATGTAGCCTCAAAACTCCAAGAGAATATTTCTCGAATTTCATGTCCCGTTTCAGGTTGTAACGGGCTATTAGAGCCGTATTATTGTCATTCAATTTTGCCTAATGAAGTGTTTAATAGATGGGGCGACGCGTTATGTGAAAAAGTGATTTTAGGGTATGAGAAATTTTATTGTCCGTTTAAGGATTGTTCTGCACTTTTGATTGATGAATGTAGTGGTGAAAATATAGTTATTACTCAATCAAAATGTCCAGAATGTAAAAGGTTGTTTTGTGCTAAGTGTAAAGTTCCTTGGCATTTAGGGATTGTGTGTGAAGAATTTGAGAAATTGCACAAAGATGAAAGGGAAAGGGAAGATATACAGCTTATGCAACTTGCTAAGAGTCAAGAATGGCAAAGATGTCCAAATTGTAGATACTATGTTGCTAGGTCTCAAGGTTGTGCCCAAATGCATTGCAGGTAAGTTATAGGTCATCGGATTTTCAAATACAACTTATGTTCTATGCATTGATTGTGTAAAAAATATTTACAAAATCATGCCTATGTGAAAAATCTTTATATTGTCGTCAGTGTATATAGCTTAAATTATTTTCATATTTTCTACTTTGCAGAATTGTGAAATATAACATTATTTTTGGAACGGGCCGATAAAATATAGTGACAAACAAAGTGTAATATGAATTGTGAACAAGTTGTTGGGAACAATGTTTTAAATTTGGATTTTTTCGGCTATTATTTTTACAGCGGTTATACAGTATCATTTTTCCGTCATTTTCACTTTAAATTTTGATATATTGTTGTTATCTTTAAAATTACAGGTGTGGATGTGACTTTTGTTACAAATGTGGAGCTCAGTCTACTAATCACTACTGCAGTAACTGTGGTACTTAAGTACATACTTGTTTAAACTTATTTGTTTCAATTTGTTTTTAGTTCCTTTCTCTTCTATTTTTCCTTTGATCTAAAGAAGAAAAGTCCACTATGGATATAGAACTTTGTTTCAGGTGCTTTTAAGAATATAATTTTGAGTTATTATACTGAATGTTTTCTTCTTCCAATTTCTTTCATATGTATTTTGATCAGAATGTAATTGGACATAGTGATGAATGATGGTGAAAAATGTATATGTATAGTTTACTAATTTTTGGAAGATCCACTATTTATTGTATCTACCATAACATTTGCCTCATTTTGATTGTTTGAGCGACTTGAATATGTCTCGCGTCATTGATTTGCCTGTATCTGCTACCTCTCATCACTATAGATATTATATATACCTATCGCCAATATTGAGGTAAATGGAAAGAAATTACCTAGCTTTTTAGTCTAGTTGAGAATTGAATCCCCTGACATCTGATATTCGAAAAAAAGTTGAAAACCCTTTTAAGATATTGAATTTTCACAAATGAAATGCTATATTTTATGCTGGGAATGTCTTTCTCTTGAAATTGATGGACCTTTTAGACCATGGTCTAAAGATCATTTTTGAGCAAGTTGAAATTCTTATGAGAAAATATTAGATCTCAGTGAGCGAGCTGAAAATTATATGAGCAAATATTAGATCCGAGTCTATCGTTGCCTTAAAGGGATAATTTCTCAAGGGCTATATATGCTCAACTTTAAAAAATATGGACAAAATCTAAATAGTAGCCAAAAAAAGGACATTTGCATAATTTAGCCCGTGTTGAAAGTTCACAATATTATGCTACGTAGAAGGGTTGTTCTTTTGGCACAATTATTTTCTAAAAGCATCAATTAACTTCATTTATTATACAAATTACAAAGTCTTTCCTTTGTATATTACAAAAGTAACCACATAACTAATAATCTCTGTCTCTCTCCCTCATGTGAGAAGAAAAAAAGTAGGCTTCTCTTATTAATTGTGGAGTTTGTGTACTTTAAGTGTTAGAGATTTTGGACTTAAGAAAAGAGCCACTTTTGGTTATTTCACGCAAAGGTTTGTCAGTAAATCTAATGATATTGTAAACCCAAGCTCCTGCTATGGCCCCAAGTGTTGGGCTCACTAAGTAAATCCATAGTCCTCTGTAATGAGTTGACACTATTGCTGGGCCCAAACTCCTTGCTGGATTCATTGATGCTCCCGATATCGGCCTGTCCGTTACAAAACTCATTAAAAATAGCTAACGAATGTATAATATATGATTATATATGATATATGCATAATTGTATATAATCAATACATAATTTATATATATATGTTAGAAAAAGTTAATAGTAAATTCGGCCGGCTATTTGTTTAAAGATCTTAAAATTTTCTATGTGATTATGTATAACATATGTATAATCGTATATAATTTATGTATATCGACTAAAAAAAGTAAATAGCGAATTCGGCTCCACAATGGCTAGAAAAAGTAAATAGCGAATTCGGCTCTCAAGTGGAGCTAACATGGGTGGCAACATGCTAGTATAGATAAATCAAGGTGAGATAGGACGGCCGCCCAAAGGCCCAGCGAGGTTGGCGCGAAGGCTGCTTGTTTGGGGGGG